CTGACTGGTCGGCTGGGTGGTAGGCCCAGACCCCTCCTCTTCCTCTCCTGAGTTTCAACGCGGTATTTCTTGTGGAATGTTCAGTCTTTCCATTTTGTAGCACATTTGTTTTCTCATATTTTGTTCCATTTGAGACTCACTAGAGCCTCGTGAGTCAGTCGAGCAAGCAACATCACCCGCATTTTACTGGTGAGGAACCTGAGCAAGATATAAGCTCACTGACTTCAGAGTCAAAGCCTTGGCGGGAGGGTGTTGTGGGCATTGACTTTGCAATGGGGTTTAGTTTGAAGTTCCTCTTTTATCAGCATGTTTTAAATGAGGAGAAGTTGACATACCAAGGGAACACAAATGAAAAACATGCTTTTAAAAAAATTTTTATTCTTCAGTCTCACTCTGTGTTTCTCTAGGGTAATGAATCATACCTACTCTTATTTTGTTCGGAAGCCTTTTCGGGGACACCTTAAAAAAATTCTGTGTTAGAGGGGTGGGGAGGGAGGGGGAAAATGAGCAACTGATATTAAGGGCTGAGGTGGAGGGCAAATGTTTTGAGAATGATGAGGGCAGCGAATGTACATATATATGTGCTTGACACTATGAATGTATGTATGGATTGTGATGAGAATTGTACAAGCCCCCAATAAAATAATTTTTAAAAATTCTGTGTTCAAAGCACATCGTCTCCTAAATGATTAGCTTGTAGCTGGGTTCTCCATTCTGGATAACACTCCGGGCTTGTCGGGGTGAGCTTTCCGCCCTATTCTCTCTGAAGCAGTAATCCTCCACCCAGCCAGCCTTGAGTGTAAACATTACGGTGGCTGCCCCATTCATTTACTTCTCTGTAAAACCCCATCTCCCTCACCTCTTCGGGTTTTCACTTGGTAGGTCTTAATCTTCATGATGGAACTGGTCCTTTGGCATGAGTTGTAAGGAAGGAGCGAACGAACTATTTCATAAAACAACCTGAAGATCCTCTGTGCACACCCCTCCTGGGCCCACGCTGGCCCTCCCCCACCGTATTCATGAACTAGGGGGAGGGGGCAGGCCTCGCTGGATGCTGAAGGTTCCAAGTGGGGTCATTCATGGTCCTTGCCTTCAAGGGACTCTTGCCCAGTAAGTAGTGAGAGACAGATACACAAACAGATGTAATTGCCTGTTATAGGTACAGTAATAGCAGAGTGCTCAAGGCACTTTGGGGGGCAAGAAGGAGGCCAGTTCTGCCGGGGTTGGGGGTGGGGGCAATGTAAAATGTCCAGAAAGACCTTTCCAAGAAATGATAGTCGTGTTGACCTTTAAAAGTGAGCAGCTCCCTGGCAGGGCAGGCAGCCAGCTTGAGATTTATGTTAACTAACGTAAACCCATTCCCTGAGGGAGGGGCCAGGCAGTCTGTAGGAAGGTCGTGCTGTATTAATTTAATTTTATGTTTGCATCTGTTGGACTTGGTAGTGCATACTTTTTAAAAGGCTCAAAAGTCAAGAAGATGTAGAGAAAACTTGAGGGGGCTTTGAAAATGGAATTGAAAGATGGTGGAATAAGGAGGCCCTCTGGTATGCACTTAGTTTCCCTCCTGAGGCAATCCTTAGATCTCCCTGAAGGCAATTGCTCTTAGCAACTTCTTGGGCTAAAAATCCAGGGATTTTCCATCTATACAGGAGGGGGTGTGTGGGGTGGGGTGTGTGTGTGTGTTTTAATGAAAGCATACAAATAGTTTTCTTCACTTAGTAGTTTTGCAAGTCATTGAGCTGCCTTTCAAGCCATGGCATGATATTCTATTGTATAGATTTACTCTGACTTATTTAACTATTCCTTCTTTGGTGAACTTTCATATTGCTCCAATATTTGCCATTGCACATAATGCAGCAGCAGCAAGCCCATGTTTCCTGAAACCGTCCTAGGTGCCAGGCACAGGGTCAGGCACTTTGGTTCTGATTGTATGCTGTCCTACGAAGAAAAGGTGGTTACTATGCAGTTTTGCAGGCGAGGAGGCTGAGTCTCAGGCATTTCTATGCTTTTCTTGAACAGATGACTAGATTGCTCTCCAAAAAGCTCCCCATTGATTACGAAATAGTGAATTTAGGGTACTTTACCATGTGCCCAACACAGCTTACCTTCCCCTGCCCCATATAAATCCTCTAAAACACCATGGATGTGATTTTCTTAAATGTATTTGGTCATGTGACTCCTCCTAGGGAACCCTGGTGGCACAGATTTAAGTGCTCACCTGCAGACCCAGAGGTTGACGGTTCAAACTTACCCAGCAGCTCCTCCACGGAAGAAAGCCCTGGCGGTCTGCTCCCATAAAGATCATAGCTTAAAACAACAACAAAACCCATAGCTTGGAGAACCCGATGGGACAGTTCTACTGTCACACGGGGCCACTGTGCATTAAAACCGGCAGCAGCAACATCCTTTCCTTGTATGTCCCACCTGGGTCTCCTCCCCTGCCCCTCCTATAGTCCCCCTGTGGCGGCTGCTGTGGCCTCCTGTGCTCCCACTGCACTGACCAACTTGTCTTGGCTCCTTTTCCTTTTTCTCAGGTATATCCTACAGAACTCACAACTCCTCCCTAACCACCAGCCTGGTCACCCCCTACAGCCACTCACTGCTTAAGTATTTGTTGTGCACGTGCCATGGTGCGGCGCAAACAGGCTGACGCCTCATCATTCTCCGGATGGTGCCTGGAGGGGATGATGCCAGCCATCTAAAATGACAGTACCAGAGGGCCTGCTGCCAACCCTGTTACTAACCAGCCAGTGGCCGAGGGCACAGTCTTTAACCTCCTTGGACCTTGGTTTTGGCATCTGTCACAAGAGGACATAAGGGCTTGACATCCCAAGGTTCCTGATAGCTCAGGCATTAGTAATACGAGCACCAGCATCCCACGCCTGCTGAGTCTTTCCTAGGAATGAGACCCGGCACCACAGGCTTCCATTCAGGGGTTCAATGGCCTCGGGCTTCCGGGGGTGGGGCCTGCACTTCCATTGGTTGCTATTCATATTTGACAGGTGAGGAAACCGAAGCTGAGGGAGTTTATCTACCTTGGTTACAAGATAGATAAAGGAAGGTAGATAACGAAGGAAACAGATCCAAATCCTGGCGTTCTGAGTCTGTCGAATTTAAAAAAAAAATCATTTTATTAGGGGCTCATGCAATTCTTATCACAATCCATACATACATCAATTGTGTAAAGCACATTTGTACATTCATTATCTTCATCATTCTCATAGCATTTGCTCTCCATATAGGGCCCTGGCTTCAGCTCCTCATTTCCCCCCCTCCCTCCCCGCTCCCCACTCCCTCATGAACCCTTGATAATTTATAAATTATTATTTTGTCATTATCTTACACTGTGCGACATCTCCCTTCACCCACTTTTCTGTTGTCCATCCCCCAGGGAGGAAGTTATATGTAGATCCTTGTAATCGGTTCACCCTTTCCAACCCACCCTCCCGGTATTGCCACTCTCACCACTGGCCTGAAGGGATCATCTGTCCTGGATTCCCTGTTTCCAGTTCCTATTTGTACCACTGTACAACCTCTGGTCTAGCCAGATTTGTAAGGTAGAATTGGGATCATGATAGTGGGGGGGAGAGGAAGCATTTATAGGAACTAGAGGAAAGTTGTATGTTTCATTGTTGCTATACTGCACTCTGACTGGCTCATCTCCCCATGACCCTTCCCTAAGGGGATGTCCAATTGCCTACAGATGGGCTTTGGGTCTCCACTCTGTGCTC